CAATAAATCTTGTGGCTTATTTCGACATCTTCAATTCTACAAAATACTCTTACAGTTGAAACAATAATTTACTTGATTACATTCTTTTATAATTCAACTCAACCTGAAGAAGAGACATCATGGCTGATTCGCTCGTAACACTCGCAACCACGCTATCAAAAATCATTTTACCTATTATCATTGTTGTTGGCATTGTAGACAACATTCTCAATATTATAATACTGAGCCGACCCATTTTGCGGCATCATCCATGTCCCCATTGTTTCCTTGCACTAGGCTTCAATAATCTCCTCTATTGCATCTTTCTTATGTATTCTTTACTGACAAGTGCTTATCAAATATATCCACAAAATAGTTCACTTTTTTAGGTGTAAATTTCTCACTTACATCTCAAGTGTATTGGCACTCATATCACCTTACTTTATTGTGTTGAACAATTTTGGTCAAGTTTGTATTCTGGGCACTATTTCATATCAATACTCTTGTATTGTGCAATTTACGATTTGATGATTATCTTGGATGTAGCATTCGAACGAATACTGTCTATAATCAAATATATGTTATTCTACAAGTTATTCTCTTCAATATTGTTGCACCATGTCTCATGGTATTGTTCGGCATGTTGACAATCTATAATACAAAAATATGCGATTTCTTCCAACAGTCAAAACATCCTATCGTCGTACGGAGGGTCAACTTGTTCGCATGCTTCTTCTTCAAGTGGCTACTCATGCTGTTCTCAACATGCCTGTATGCGTCATGTATCTCCTGATATTGTTGTCGACAGGATGTCAACTTTCGTCCAGCTTTATCATTGGCATTGTCATCGCTAACTTTATCTTTGATTTTTCGTATGCAACACCCGTTTTTCTCTTCATTCTGTCGGCTCGCATTTATAGAGAAGTATTTCTTCGACTTGTATACAGAATATTCAATATCAATACTGGCATTCGAGTTAATCCAATATTAATGACAAACGGTGTTCATCAAACAGCAATATATTGTAATACGATGACAACAGTGCAAAAATGAACTAACAATAACCAGCTATTATTTACGAAACGAACTCTTTTGATGTTGTAGATTGTGATTCAAAAGGTTCTGCTTTGCCGCTATTGTCATTTAAAGTCGCCAAGAAAATATATTGGGATTTAGTCATTGAAATCATTTGCGATGAATAATTTCAGCGATATGGATGCGTGCTCATTTAGAATGTACAATTAACAAGGAAAACTCTTCTTCAGCTACTTTCTTCCGATTTTAATGACATTTTGTGTATACATACTCAATAGTGTTCTAATAAAAAACTAAAAAAGATTTGGGTTCATAATAATATTTGACTATACTATCGAGCTTTGGTTTGAAACTTTGCACACAAAGAGAACACAATTAGACTAGCTTCCATGAAAAACTTCAGAAGTTTCGAACAAAGTCTCTTCAAGATATAGACCATTTTTCATAAATAGTGTATCAAAATGCATTTTTTGAGAGCTTTATACTCTCGAAGTTTGGTAGAAGAGAGCAAATACGTCCATAACCAATCTCATATGATTTCAAATAGTATAAATGCACACTAGTAAACAATAGTTTCATGTCTATTGAGTAGAGAAAAAGTGAAATTCTGACAAAAACCTGTGCACTATTCAAGAGCATATAAAATAGAGAAAAGTTCATTAACTTCATTCATTCGAGGCATGTACAAAACCAACTAAATACACTGTATTAGTAGAATTTCTATTCAATAAAGAGATAGTGTAAGTATTTGTTACGTAAAAGAAATGACATGCGGAAAGAAAACAAAAAAAAATGCCGTTGCATCTAATGTTCTCCCGTCTTTTTCTGTTCTGTTAGAAGAATCAGGTAGAAGATGTAGACAATCAAAGATCATCAAGGCAACACAAATAAACATCACAACATTTCTTTTTTTTGAAAAGAAATATAGTTTTCTCTGAGAGCAGCTCCGATTAATTTGATTCGGTTAAGTGTAACTGAAAAGGTAAGATGCAAGTATTGAAAAAAAATGCTGCTCGAAATAATTATTTGCATATATAAAAGAAAAGAAAAAAACGAAGTTCTGTATAGTAATAGTACGCAATTCATCCTGTTTGTATTGTGTAAAAAATTATTAGTACAGCCTCTTAAAGACTGCAATGTAGGACTCAGATGTGTTCTTTAGCTCCATTATAGTAGTATAAAACACATCAAGTGAAAGATTCCCAGTGAACTACACTTGTTTTCCAAGGATAATCGATCTTCAGAGAAACGTATTCTCTCTCTCACTCTCTCATTTACTTTTGTGTTTCGAAAAATGTTTTTTTTCTTCCTTTTACTGGCGTTCGTTTGTTTTTGGTTGGTCATGTTCTTGTTCTCTCGTTGTTTTTCATTTTCATATTCTTTTTTTGCTTTATTTATTACAGTATTATTATTCTAATCGTTGATTTAACTCAGCAGGCCTCAATACACTATTATATATTACAATAAGCTCAGAAACATTAATATTGATTATTTCATAAAGTTATAACATGATCAAGTCATGATTTTGATGTTAATCATACGACAACCATGATCTGTACTATTTAGAACCTTTATAAATATATTCCAGCAATTCAAATTTCAAGGAAAGTTTCTTTTAATTTTCTGAACAGTCTAATCGATGTCGCTAAAATTGTTCACGTTCTCTTTTCGTTGTTAAGGAATTCTGTGAGAGAAATATGACTTCTGTTGCTCTCGGTTGTTATATAAAGTACGACCTTCACGTTGATCGGAACATGTCCAATGTCCTTCAGTTACAATTTTGACATATTTTACAAAAACGTTTTAGATAGACCTACAATTTAACTCCTGACTGCATACTTTTAATTACAAGGTTAGTTCTTATTTATGCATACATTTACAGACATTTTTCAATCAATCTAAGGCGTGTCATCATTTTAAGAGAAGAAAAAATTTGCTTTCTTATTTATTATCACCGACATTAAATTAGCCGCATGTTAACATAGTTTCCTAAACTCGATATTGCTCATATAGTTTTCTACACTAGTAAAAACAAAGCGAGCCCTAATAGATTTTAGGAATTCTAAAATCTATCAGAATACTTAGGATCCGCTTTCTTCTCCGCCTTGCTTTTACATTTACTATTGACAGATACAATGGGATGGATCAATCTAATTTAGAATATCTACGACCAAATTCTTGAAGTGCTCACACATTCTACTGAAAGTGTACCAGTTATCATCACCTATGTTGCTATTGAGATAAGAACACTGGGTCTATGTGAATTCACAGCATTATTCATGTTTATATTTTCACGCTAGAGTTCTGTGTCGCATCGGTTTAGTGAAGCCGTCACTAGGCACATCAATTATGGTGATCACTTCTTGTGATTGCTTCGATACATCTATTGTTCATATATACTGAACAGATAGTACAGATGAGCCGCTCTAATTGTCCAACGTAGGAGAGAATTTACTGAGTTTATCAATCGGATCCGATGAAGAACTCTATATGAATCAGTATCTGAAATATCCTCGAAATGAAAGAACAAAAAAGTCTTAATATTTTTATTCAAGATCAAACACTTGATACTCTAAATAAATGTTTTACGTTTATTATACTGAGTTCCATAGATTAGCTGATTTTTTGCCTATCAATACTACTCAATGCTCTAGTAAAAACTCTTAAAAATTTGAGTTTTTTATTACTTCCTTCAAAACTCATGAACATTCTAATTTTGCTCCTATAGTGCTTAACATACACTGTGGACCATAAATAGCACTGTGATAAGAAATGAATTAAATTCTCATCGGTTCAACTACATAGGCTGGTTTTTTGATTGTTGGTAGAACTTTATTTGAAGATTTTTCTCTAATATGAATAAGATAAGTAAATATTACGATTAAGTATTATTGTTAGTATAATAAAAGCAATTTTACCTATTATCAAGTAAAAAAAAGAAAATAAATGTTAAGCGTTTCATAGATGGTTTTAGGTTGTCATCTAAGAGACTCAGAAGAACAAGTAAAGAACAACTTTTATAAATTATTCTTTATTGATGTACATGAAGCAAGTTTTTAAATCTAGTCAGTTTTAATGCCGAAGTTTGTGCTCTATATGTAAGACACATAATTACAGCTCGTTGAATATCAAAACATCAACTCTCTTGTCAAAATCGGTACTCTATGTTTGAAAATTTGCTTTATATACATCAATAGAGAATCATAGATTAAGTTCGTTTTTGATATGTTCTTTCGAATCTCTTAAATTGATAACTGAAAATCATCTATGAAACACTAAACATTAAGTTTTTTTCTTGATAACAGGTGAAATTGCTTTTATGATACCAACAATAATACTTAATCGAAATATTTGCTTACCTTATGCGTATGACAAAAGAAACTTCGAATAAAATTCTATCAACAACCGAACAACTAGCTTATTTGTTTGATCCGATGGGAGGATATATTTCATTTCTTATTATAGTGCACTATAGAGGCAATTCATAACTTTTGAAGAATGATATAGGAATCCAAATCCTTTTTCCATCGTAAATCGTATGAAACGAGTTAATTCGAATTTAAGTCTACATAAAAGATAAGAATAAACTCTATCGAACTCAAAATATGAGAGCAAATAACATCAAGCTATATTATATTTTTCCAGACATTTTCAATTACAAATTCCTTTCAAAGAATTATGCATCATAAGCTGTACAAAATATTCAATATTGTTCAAGTGTACTTAGAGCATAACAAAAGTATTGGCCGTAGGACTATTATACATTATAGAAGAGTCACAGAAATTTTCTCTATACAATTAGTTATTCTCCAAAGAGTGTTAAATATAGGAGAACATTACGAGAGAAAAGTTCACCTTACATTAATACTACAACATATAATAACTATCGTAAAACTAACTTTGTTTTTTTCTTAACTTCTGATTAATACATAGCTTATTCTTCTGATGAATGATTTTAGTAATATTGTTTGTCACGAAAATAATCAATGACTTCCATATCGAAATCATCGACAACAAGTGATTTTTATTGTGCATGTCGTAGTGGATTAATAGATAAAGTTCGTGAACAATTACCAAATATGACTTTAGAAGAAATTGATCGAATTGAAGGAAATGGCTCTACAGCTCTTCATGCTGCATGTTACTATGGTCATACAGAAATAGTTAAATTATTATTAGAAAAAGGTGCTAGTCGTTCAATAAAGAACGCATATAAATGTTTACCTTGTGATGAAGCACAAGAAGATGAAATTAAAAGATTATTTATACGTCCATCAGCAACTCGATTTTCTAATGATGGATCTGTTTATAGTGATTGGATAAAATGTAATGCTGAAACTGAAACTCTTGCAAGTGATTATCGATTTCGTCATTTTGGATTTGAATGGAATAATAACAATATTAATCATCGTTTAAAATATATTAAAGATGAAATTTCTAATACAGAAAATGATCGTATTAAGATATTTATAAAACAAGCAGAAAAAGATTCTGATTATCTGCTTAAAGCTTATACTGTCGAATCTGACTTTTATATTAAACTAAATCAAGATTTAGCAATAAGACGCTTTGATAAAGATACAAATTTTGGTATAACATATTTTATAGATTTTTTCTATAATAATTCAGATTTCAAAAATTTATCATTCAAAGGAAAAGTTTATCGTGGAACATGCATGACACATGATGATTTTAAAGAACTTAGTGTTGGAGTAAAAGTTATGAATAAAACATTTATGTCAACAACTAAAGATCGAAAACTAGGTGAACAATTTGCATTAAAACATCTAACTTATCGTGAAAAACAACTTGGTGAAAATGTTAAATTATCCGCGCTTTGTATATATGAAATAATTAATGAACGTACTGGATTAAATATTGAAGGAATTTCAGAATATAAAGATGAAAAAGAAGTATTAATAGGACCACTTACAGCTTTTATAATTACAACAATACGTCAAATTGCTCGAAATTATGCTGAAATTGATCTTCGAGAATGTAAAAAAGTAAATTGTCAACATGATGATGATAATTATTTTGATGATGACTAGACTAAAATATTTTCATGGTTCGGTTTTTTTATTATATACTATTTGAAAGTGTTTCGAAGTGTATTTTTATAATACGAATATTTTGTAACTTAAACTCGCACCAACACAAAATCAGTTGCATTCAAAATCGATCATACTCATAATCAACGTCCTTGTATTTTTAAACATTTTAACATATTTCCAACTAGACATGTGTGGGTTAAGCTTATTCCTTAGCCTATATTCTGACTGAGAAAATCTTACTAACCTTAATTTTCGAAAAGATTGATTTTATCAAATATAAAAATATTATATTTTGGAGTTATCTTGATGTTTTTGAAATATAATTCCAGTGAATATACTGAGTTCAAGGTATCCAATAGTGTACTACCCCACTACCAGTATGTAACAAGAAAATTTTGAGTTTTAAGCACTAGATTCCAGAATGTTTCGAAATGTTCAATCGACTAAATTAGTTGGAAAATTTTTCATAGAATGTTCAAAGTTCTGTTTAAATACTGGTAAGAGAGTATTATCTCAAATACAAAGCTGCAACTTGTTCCAGTACATGAACGACTTGAAATCAGTATATTTACTATAGAAATTTAATAGCTATGTGTATGATTAATTTTGAGTGCCATTGTATATACAAAACATTAGTAATTGTTCATTATATGCGTCTCATGTATTTCATTCTTGAACCATTACGAAAATTTTTTTCTTACAATAAATATATGTTCTATGGAATAAGTTATACTACTAAGTAGCTGAAGCACATACAACATATTTAAGATCATTATTTAATGGATGAAGATTTGTTGTATATCCTATATTCGATAGATATATTGTTCTTATATTTCTTTTTTTATACTAGAATAAGGAAAGAATAAATTGAACAGATAAGCATAGATTTAAGGAAGTTCATAACATATTTAATAGGTCATGAGCAAAGAATTGCAATACTAAACGAATTTGTTTTTATTGATTAAATATTCAACAATTTTTAATATTAATAAAAAAAAATAGATGCATGACAAGAAACGAGCACTATCTGAAATGTCTAATATATTTATTATAAATTCAAATGTCATAATAAAATCGTGTTAGTTTTGGAAATTAATCACGATTTGAACAAAAATAATCGGCAATTGGTTAATAGTTTTTCAATAGCAAAAAAATCGACAATTTTCCAACAAACTCCAACAGTCAGTATTTTTATATTAAATAAAATTTTTTTCTTCCATTTATATTTCTCTCAATAGTAAAATGATCAGTATTATTGTGTGTGAGAAGAAAAAATTTTTGCGTTTATTCAGATTATGAGTCACGATAAAATCGTCAATTTTTGTCGGATTTCGATGACGTTTATCTCGTGTATAGGTCCTAATAAAAGAATAATTAGAATATACGGTATATTTTAACTACCATGTCATAAATATAATGAGTTAATATTGGTAAAAAGAATGATAGAGAATAGTAAAGAGAACAACTATAGGTTGTCGATTTACATCTGACCTGATCTTTTCAGATCCTTTAAGTTTCACCGCAAAATACGATAAGATCCTTTCAAGGCCAAATGCTGATTGGATTCTGTGTCCATACTTTATGGACTCGGTTCGATGGAATCTGATCAAATGAAGTTGAAATCGTACAAGATTTAGTGATCGGATTTCTCAATCTAGATCGTATTATTCAGTTTTTTCTGGCATTCTATGTACACTGTGTTACGTGAGAATAATAAGTAAACAATATATTTCTGTCTCAAATCAAATAACGCTATGTTCAGTATCGGAAATGTCGTTTAAGAAGTAGTCCATGTCATCAAATGAAATTGAAATCGTCTTCGATCTTCTTCTCTAACATGAGCAAGATATTGTTTTCCTTGATCCTTGATTCGATTCCATAGACGGTTCAGTGCGCTTAGTGTCTGTTTCGAACAAGCATTAAACGATAGATAAAAAATATGAGGATACTAATTGATTTTGTTCCAACGCCTACCCAAAATGTTGTGCTCCTTGATCACCGACTATATTGAAAGTGAGGGTGAGTATGGTGAGTGTCTATTTTGCGCAACCAGTAAATAAGAAATAGAGAACGCGGAGATATTACTTGGTTTTGTTCGAGAGCTTTGGCAATATATTGTGCTGTTTGTTCATCGATTTCATGATGCCTGAATCGTAGTGTTGTGAGTGTCTGTTTGGAAGAGGCAATCAATGATAGATACAGAAGATAAGGATATCACTTGGTTGTTTTCGAGAGTCTGGGCGAAATGTTGAAGTTGTTAATCACCGACTGCATTGTAAGTGAGGTCGAGTGTGATAAGTACTCACACGTGATGTAAGAATGACTAATATGATGAAAGAGTTCGCAAAGAGATATGGAAATGGGTCTATAATCATTAGCCTTTGCTTCAATGGGAAAATTTTCGTTTTAGTTAATTGATAACGGAATACGCTTGTTTTGGAGAAGAAACGCTGAAAAATTTCAGCCAGCATATAAATTTTAGTAGAACCTATAAGTCTCATACAAACTGTTGTACAATGCATGACATAGATTTTGCAGCTTGGAAAAGAACGGCAAAGTGCAGTATCTTCCTAAAACTATTGAACTAATAAGTCCTTATGCTGAAGAAAGTTAGGCATAAACAAACGAAAATTTCTCATCGTTAGAAAGAAGTGTTTGTGATTTTACACTCGGTACACATTTTGTCTGCCTCGTTTGTTTCTTAAACATGGTTAGAGTGTACGTTGTTTTAACTGATGTACTATGGGAAGAAAGTGCTCATATACCACTGTATATCAATAATGCGACAGTATTGTAAAGACATTGTTCGTCTAATGTTATAGGTTTTTACTTGATATCGATAGTAGCTGTTGATGATTGTATTCAAATGTGTATAAATGCTTTGCATCGAGCATATAATATCAAAATCATTGAGATAGTCGAAAATTCGATAGACAAGTTCTATCAGTAATGTAAGAAGAGTTAAAGTAGTTGTAGTCGACATGGATGAAAGCTTTTGGGATGTTTTGGATGTTAAAATGTATGTTGAATATTTGATTTGTTTAGTGTATTTTATTGTTTCAGTGAGTTTGTCATAGTTTTGTGTTGTAAGTTTCTCGTTCTTTTACCATCACTTATTTTGACAACGTACTGCAAAGTAATGGTATATTTGTGGAATCGTTATAGTAATAATTATAGTTTATTCTGCGTTTTGTTAAATTTTATTTGTCTTATGGTACCTTGTGGATATTTTCTATCTTGGGATTTCTTTTTTCGTTCCTCTTGAGCAAACTTCTGCTGATATTTGAGGAAATCGTTGGTCGCATAAAAGTGAACAGCATTTCAAGGAGTCCAACGAATCACGACAACATATGGAAATCATGATAGAGATACATGAGATCATACCATGGGAGACTCTAATTGACTAGATAAATCAGAAAGTATCTTATTATATTTAATCACTCTTGAAAATATGGCAAAAGCTGAAAATAATTTGAATTAAAATACAATGTTCCAAAAAGTTCACATATGTTTTGTCATTGACTTATATGTTTACCAAATACTTAGGCTTCATTCACCAGATCAATCGATTCTTTTGATTGAAATATTTGTTAAGCTAGTTATTTGAGTTATCCTATGATCGACGGCTCCACCATCGTGTATTGTATCAAAGCAGGTGAATATTTCTGAAATCTGTTAAAACGGACGAAACTGAGTCGATTTCGATGCAATGTGACAGTGTTGATGCAGCTGAGGAGTCTATACTAACCATAGAGCTTCAATCGACTCCAGTTATGAGATAAACTTTTTATTATGGATGAGCCTGTAAAAGTTTCTATTGATAAAATATATTAATTTGAAACTATCTTTTTCTCAGTTAATTTTATTTCTTTTTAACAATAAATTTGACTTTGGGCCGAAAGCATTCTCTGCAATTTTTTATAGCTAGAACTGAAAGTTTCAAGCGCTACTGCCGATTCTTATGAATACATCAGCATATCAACGGTAGTATCAACAAACGTGCAACATGAGAAGTCAAGCAATTAAATTTATTATCATAAGCCTCAAATTTGAGAATAGTGTGATAAGAACACAAGTAATAACAGAAAATTCTATTTTTCAAACATTTTTTCTCCCATTTGTGACCACATTTTCATGCTGAATTCATTCATCATCACATGATCTCATGTGTATCTATAATGGTATCCATAGTTTCTCTATATTCGTTGAGCTGATCTAAATGGCACTCATATTTTCATTTACTGATTTGACAAATGCAGTTTATTATCTGATGATCAATTGAGTCAAAATAATTGGATCATATCTAAAGCAAGCTATTGTCGACAGTACAATGTCTGAGGTTTTATCACTATAGCTCTTCAGACAACTACATAAACGACATGTACTCATCTTGTATCTATTTTGCCATGGTCTTCTATTATGAAAGTGTTCGAAATCTATGGTTCGGTACTACATGATGATATATTATCAATAGTTCTGATAAAGTTTGTTTGATGCCATCGAGTAAACCAAGGAAGTATGGGTCTTCAAAGTTTCCAATTAGTATGATATATTTCTGTTTTATCGGCATGCCATTCAGAATTCTTCTCTATTATAGCTAAGACCCTAGCAATGTCTTGTTCGTTGCTTCATATGTCAATCAATAGCTTTTATTGAGTACTATGCACCGCTATAAAGTGTGATTCTTAAAATATCTGATTGTCAAGCTACATTGTCATTAATATTGAATGAATTTCTGAGTGAACAAAAATAACCTCTCATGAATTTACTTTTCTAGTCTTACGTTTATCTATTTATCCTCAGCCTAGATTGAACGGTGCAGTACACAACCAAGAAGAATGCGAAAGCTTCACGCGACTACTCTGGCGTATGCGAATGTCTTCCATAGGTTTTTGGAGGGTGTGCGGGTGTGGGTGTGAGTATGGATGTCAGTGCTGGTTAGAATATCAGCAAAGAAATCTATGCGCATGTAGTGGGATACTTCTCCTCACCATCCA